AGAGTAAAAATCTTTATATATGTTAAACGAGTGGTGGATGGTTAGCGGGTGAAAAAATCATCACCCACATCCGATCCGATCCATCATCCACTTCATCCGTCACCTGCTTTTCATCCATTTATTTCGGGTTTTCGTCCATTTATTTTAAGCGGGTGGATCGAGTTAGCGGATATCCATCTAGTATTGCCATCCCTAGTAGGAATCAAGTGGGTGTTAATATCCAAGTGGGGGCAGGGTAGGGATGATTTTTGGAATTGTACTCGTCAGGGCGGGGAAGAAGATAGATTTCAGACCCGCAACGTGGATGGGGATGGGGATGGGGATAAGAATGTTAGGCGGGGATGTGATGAAAAGGCCAACATCCGCCCCGCCCCATTGACATTACCAACCGGGCGAGTTGATCACGAGCAGAGGGTTGCTTGACTCGTATTCGTTAAGTTTCGAGTCGAGCCGAGTCGATCACGAGCTGCTCGTTTAAAAGTTTATGTCTCTTGAATTTCAAACATTTGTTGATTATAGTTTATTCTCTCTATATAAATTTTTCTTACTAAAGTTTATTAATTTAAATTTATTAAGTGTTAAGGTAAATTTTTGTTTTTAAAGCTACAAGAATAGAAAAATATTTAATTTCTTGTACACTTATTGAGTTTCGAGATTCCATGAGCCAACTCGAGTCGAGTTTTAACTGTAATTTGACCGAGTTGAGTTCGAGCTACTCGCCTGCTCAATTAGCACCTCTAGTCCAAAAAATCTTGCGTGGACCTGGTTTACAAAAAAATTATTGTGAACCCGAGGTTTATACGCACGCAACTGACGTTATAATAAGTTATATAGAACATAATGACCCTAAATTTAACATAGTAACCTTATTTTTAACATAATAACCCTTATTAAAACTTGTGTGACCTTTAATATTATTGTAAACCTGAAGTACGACGCTATGTTAAATATAGTGACTCTAATTTTAACATAGTGACCTTTATTATTTATATTAATCAGTATATAAAAAATTTCATTAACAAAAATAAAATAACCTCTTATAACCTTTATAATGCCACAATGACTTTTATTTTAACATAATAACCTTTATTTTAAGGGAAATTCTCAATGGTGATCCCCAACTTCTACTACGCACACATGGTGACCCTCTTGAAAATAGATTATACGAAATGACCCTATTTAAAATTCTATCTCACTTATAACCTTATTTCATTAAATTATAAATATAAATTAACTGTGGTTAGATTTTTAAAAAAAGAAAAATAAAAATCCTTAACCTAACCACCAACCAAGCCTCCCCACCAACAGTCCACCACTACCTCCTCCATCTCCACCCTCTCTCCTCCCCTTAACTGCCACCGCCTGTCGGGTCGGCCCAAGACCGGAGATGGTTCCCCGTCCCCCCCACCGGCGACGCTACCCCAGCCCCACTGTAACACCCTAGAAATTCATTTTCTTTAAAATATCTGTTTTGCCCTTTTTAAAATACGAATTAGGAAATTTTAAGACATTACCGCCACCGTGAAAACGGCTAAGGCAATTATCGAAGACACACAGCGGAAGACTTGTTTTAAAAACCATACAAAAATAAAACCAACACTTAAAAGTCAACCAAATGAAAGTAAAGTCAAACCAAAGTCAAACATAGTCAACCTACAACTTGGAACTATTGTAGGCCCTTTTCAAAACCCAAACAAATATTAAAATCATTGCGTTAGTTTCACAAGCAAATATATAATAATTAAAGCAAATTAAACACATCATATTCTAATGGAAACTAAACAAAATTCGCTCTTCACTCATGCCCATCATGAAAATGCTTAACCACCTGGCTTCTCTTTACTTTGTCCCCATTATTCGCCATTAGAAATGGGTCGTCGTAGGACCAAGATAAAGACAAGGCCACCAAACATACAATACACACAATCAACAATGCTGAGTACATAAGCGTAAACGATTCACACTAATATGCTTACATCCTAGCATCACACAATTTACCTTGTTGCACCTGTTTATAAGCATACAACACACATTTATTCAATAGACATTTCCATTGCTTATTTAATTTTTGATTACGCATCGAACGCGTTTCCCCCTAACCTACCCTAATAAAGGGGTATTAATACGAGAGCTAACCGTGCCAGTATAAAAGAAAATACATAATATAAAGGAAAATACAGCGTCCTGCACTCCCAGTAGAAGTTATGGTCAAATATAAAGTCGCATAACTCCCCCTATATGTTCATACTCAAGGTATGTACGTTCCAAGAGTTTTGGTGCATAACCTCTTTCACTTTACGTTATTTATTTATTTTTGACTTGGTGATAACTCTTAAATCATAAAACAACCAACATACATAATTCATTCAAGCAATCAAACATACCAGTTTAATTCTTGAATAATTAGTGACCAAATTTAATTTAATGTTGAACCCTTTTAAAACTATCTTGGCGTTAAATAACACCTTAAGCGCATAATGCGCCACGAATCCTATCCCTCGGTGTTTGGAACACCTTAAGTGAACTTAGGCACCAAAGTAAATTAATCCTCGTGTACATAGATACATAAATAGCTCATTTCTCATGCTTATAGCATCAATAAAAATTATATGAACCATAATAAAATTCCCTTTTTATATTCCAAACCAAATTAAACATTTAGCTTAATTAAACATGCTCTTGATCATGTCAATAATAAAATTATGGTCCATATTCAACATGCCAACATAATTCCAATCAATAATTCACCTCAAATAATTCATGCTTCACAAATCAATCACCAAAAATCAATCCAACCAATAATTCCAACCAATGCCTATCATGATACTAACTTGGAATTATTTAAACAAGTCCTAGCATGCTTCTACACACTTAAATAATTATCGAATACGCGAATGTACCTCGAATATGATCTCAAAATCGCCACGACTACACAAATCACTCACTTGGAAGTCTCTAACAACCCAAAATAACAAAGAGACATTAATACCTATTCATAATAAATTTCTAGCAATATATACACTCTTTAAAACACTTTTAATGCTAAAAATTGCTAAAAATTAATTTAAATCATCTACTTTTTATTCCCAATTAATGGATAATTAAAATACCTTCAAGAGAACTTAATTCTAGCCTCTACATAAAAATTCCAGCATTATAAAAACTCTTAAACTTGCTGTAATTTAGTTTAAAAACATTATTTTCAATAGTTTTAATTAACCACTATCAAATTCCATCAATAACCATCAATTTGGAAACCTAGGGTTAACAATTTGGCCTTTTAATTCAAAAACCAAATCTGAAAATTATATACATATTAATCATTATTAAAACATCATAAAATCATCACACACACACCCAAAAACAATAATTAATCAAAGCTAGATTGATTTTTTTTTTTTGGAATATAATGGCTACCCAACTATTGTAGTTGGGTACGCTAGATTGATTTAAAACAAAAAAAGAAGATTTTTTTTTCTTTACACAACCACACGCACGCAAAGAGGGAGGGGAGAGTGGCCGGTGTGCCACCTCCCGCAGTTGCTGCTGCTGCCGCTCCGAGCTAGCGGCGGCCAGCTGTGGTGGTGGTGGCAGCCGGCCACCGGTGGTGGTGGTGGTGATGTGTGTGCGAGGTGAGTGAAGGGGAAGGGGGGAAAATTAAGGGGAATGAAAAATAAGAGGAGAGAGAAAGAGAGTTTACCTTTGGGTATTCTCCTAACTTAATTTCCTCCTAACTTAATTTCCTTTTCTACTCTTAATGATTCCTACTCCTATTCTAATTGGCATTTGACTTTTTTTGGCATTTGTGAGAGAATTTGCTCAAAAGATGGGTATTTATACTCTCTCTCAAAATCCTCCTAACTTAATTTCCTTTTCTACTCTTAATGATTCCTACTCCTATTCTAATTGGCATTTGACTTTTTTTAAAACTCTATTGACTTCAAAACTTCCTTTTTATAAATAAAATATGCCCCAAGTTTTTAAATGGTAAAATAAAATATCTCCAAAACAAATAAATAAATAAAAACGGATTTTTAATTAAAATAAACCTTTTTGAATTATTAAAATACCATAAATAATTCATTTTGAATTATTTAAATACTTCATAAAATAATATTTTAAATTAATATACGTATAAAAATACGGGTTATTACACCCACCGTCACCCAGAGCCCCAAACCCCGCTTACGACCTTCCCTCTCTCGCTTCTTCCCACCGCAATCTTAAATAAGGGGTTCAATTGAACCACAATCACCATCCGTTTAGAGTTTTGACTGAGGTAAGGTGGTTTCAAAACCCTAACCCCAACCACCCCACCTTAGTCGAAACCCTAATCGAGACAGTTTGGGTTCGATCTGGGTGGAGGAGAAAGAGATGGGGTTGTGGTGGGTACGGTGGAGAAGAGCGGCCTTGTAGACAAAGTTTGGGGTTCTTGGTGGGTGGTGATCGGGGTGGGGCTAGGATAGCGTCGCCGGCGAAGGGAGGAACCTAAGGCGCTGGCAGTGAAGGGGGAGGGGGAGATGGTGGCTGGCTAGTGGAGGTGGTGGTGTGGATGGATAGTTGGTGGTTGTAATTTTTGTATGTGTTTTTTATTTTATTTTCTTACAAAAAATCTAACCATAGTTAATTTTTATTTACAATTTAATGAATTAGGTTTATAAGTGAAATAAAATTTTAAATAGGGTCATTTCATATAATTTTTTTTCAAGAGAGTTACCATATATGCATAGCAAAAGTTGGGGGTTGCAAGACTGCTACTCTGTAGATTATATTTGTAACTTGTAAATTTAAAGAGAGTTCACAGTTCCCACGAAGACAAAGTATCAATTTATAGAAAAGTCCTCAATATCTTTCCAATAAGAGCACTACCATCAGTGAGGGAAAAACCCCTCACGAGTGAAAATAGAGCTATAAAATAACTCCTCAACCTCCCCATTAGTGAGAGGAAAAAAAAGCACATATGAGAGCTTCTCATTTCTCTCACACGGTGAGGGGAAATACAAATGAATAGTAATGAGGTGGGCCCCACGAAATTCTAATTTTTAGGGTATAGAAAATAAATAAAGTGATGTGTATTATGGTGGGGTAAACAAAATAGTGGAGGAAAGAGTGATGAGGAGTTTTATTTTTTTAAGCATTGATGTGGTAAAAAAAAATATCTCATGAGAGGAATTGGATGAGAAGAGTGAGAAATTGAGTAGAGAGAGATTGAGAGGTTTTTTTTCTCCCTGGCAATGGTCTGACAAATGCATGCTCACTTTCATTATATTTCCAAATTCCAATAACGAATGCATGCATCCGTTCATTTTCAACTTCCCAAAAACAGAAAAACAGAGTTCAAAATATGACCAAACCTCACACTCACACTACACAATTATCTCCTGCTTTCTTCCTCTTAAACTTCAACCCCTTTGTTCCTCGTAAAATACCCAATTTAATTACATAAATCATTCACCCTAATATTTCTTATCAACAATGTCGATATATAAACTAGCTGTGATCATCAAAAACCCTCTAAACGACGAGGAATTCCTGGTTGTCAAGCAAATTAGGCCCCGTAAATTTGGAATTGAAGAGTATGATTCTTTCATTGATTCTGATCTTTGGGATTTTCCTTCTGTTCATTTGAAAATGTTACAAGGTGAATCGGAAATCCAAGTTGAAGGAGCTGAATTATGCTCTGCTAAACTTGATTTGAAGAAATTTGACCTGAGTTTGGCTTTAAACCAGGTATAATTGATCATTTTTTTTTTAAATTTTTTGATAAAAGTATAGTTGATCATTTTATTATTTTGATGGAATTTGTTGAATTATTTTGGTATGTTGAATTTTCGGTGAAATTGAATGGTTAAATTTTATGAGTGATTTGTGTTTTTAGGTTTCAGAGCAGGTTAGAGTTGAGAGGTTGGTTGAAGGGCAGTGGAAGTTCTGGAAATTTGTGGAAGAGCCTGAATTTGGACCGGCACCTCCGATTCATACGGTTTTTATCACCGCCTACTATGGCTTTGATGATAAAAGTAGTGATGGTGAGTTCTGACTTTTATTTATTTATTTATTTTATTTACTAGATTAGTACCTGCGTGTTGCTGGGTGGTGATAAACAATTTTTTCATATTTCTTTTATATCTTTTGTTGTTGATAACTTTTTAACATGAATTAGCTCGTTTTTTATTTTGTAAAAATAGAGAATGTTACTCTATAGATATTAAAAAATAAATAAAAATAAAAATAAAAAAAACATGTATATCATTTTTTTTAAATGATTATAATTTAATGCTACATCATAATATTTACTATGTTATTGAAAATATACTAAAATTATGGTTAGAAAAAATATACTTCATACAAAATATTGCATTATCTAATAAGCTTATACATTTAGAGTGGAAGCACAACAATATTGATGTCAAAGCCCTTCAGATTTTTAGTTTCATACCTACTTGGTTCTAGTTTCTAGCAAATAAAATGAAAAGGCAAAAAAAAAAAAAGAAAAAAGAAAAAGAGGACATTATATGTAAATTTGGAGGGAAAATGTTTAATGAGAGCTTGACACATAAAGACATTTTAGGAATTGATGACATCAGCATGTTTTGTTTTAGTAATAGTTAATAGATAGATTGGAATATAAATAGAACATTTTGTGGTTGGAAGTTATTCAATGCCTTGGTTCGAAATAAATAGTTATATTGATTTTGCGATTTGAACTAGCAACGTGACAACTAAATTCGCATGTTGAGAGTAAGTCTCTGTATTGCAAAGTACGGAACAGAAGTGAGCAGGACAAATAAAATCTGGATGTAGTATTGTTCATCTTCTTTATATGGTTTTTGAAAAAAAAAAAAAAAAAAAAAACAAAAAACAGTCAATGAGTGCATAATTTATGGGGATATTATTAATTCATGGCCAGCTTGATATAATGATAAAGCATTTTTGTTATATCTGCAGCTCTTATAACCTTCTCATATTTTATTTTTCTTCTTCTTTTCTATTGAGTAAATCCATATGCAGTGGCATGCCAGTGGATTTCCTGGTCTAATTGCTCCAAACGGCTCTCCGAGGTAACACCGGATAGTTATCGTATGGGGCCCTTGGTGGTTAATGGTTTTCCCCATGACTCTAAACACTCTAAGTGGGATGTTCCGCGTTATTTGAATTACCAGGTTGAATCAATTTTATACTAGAATTTATTTTGTTGTTTATTTGTTTTGATGAAGCAGTTATGTTTTAGCTATGCTTTCTTTTAATGAGAGATACAGCTACAAAGAGAGATGCAACTCATGCACGTATTCGACCATTTTGTCTGTATTTACGTTGGTTCTTTAAACCATCAACTCTCTTATCGTGGCTGATTCCAATTGATGTTGTAAACCTGTAGAAATCATTCTCTGATGAGGTGTTGTCAATTACTTTGTCTCTTTTACAGGAATATCCTCTGGGTGTCAGACTTGTACCGATGAGAAGTAGAACTGGCAAGCCTTTCTCCACTACAAACTTGGTAGTCATTGCTCCACAGTTTGTTGCTAATAGTGAAAGCGATAAAAATTTTATTGCTCATGGAGATGCACTAATAATAGATCCTGGATGCAGAGCTCAGTCCCATCAGGAGGTAACTTTTAGCCAACCCAGCATTAGAACTTAATTCTGAAAGAACTTTCATCAATTCACTGCACATTTGCCAAAATGGTATTTTCCTTGTAGATATATTGCATAAAATGAAGCCCACTCTTGTCAAGTGTGTGGAACTTTATACTAGAAGCAATTGCGTCATATGTATGAATGTGTATCACATGCATTTTGAGAGTTGGGGGATAATTTTTATAAGCTTAAATATATACTGCTATGAGAGTTTAATTTTTTGAATCCTAATAATCATAGTTTTTGGTTGGAGGTAGTGTTCATAAGCTTAGGGATTGTCGACATTTTTAGGGATGTCAGGTGCTTGATAGGAAAGTTCACATTACTTTCTTCAGTTGTAGATATCTTCTCTGAAAATTACTGAATGCTGTCATTAGTTGTATATAAGGTTTTTCTGTTTGCATCTTTGCAGTGTATTCGTCATTTTTAGAAATTGAAGTAATTAAAGTCTTAGGGTGATGGAATTGGTGAAAGACCTGATGAATTTATATTTTTTTATTAAACTAAAGACCATGCAGAGTAGTTCTTTCCATTAATGGAAATCATTTATCAAAGCCACCAGTGGAAGATAATCAGAAATTATCAGAGTAATTAAGGAAAACTATAATGTATATATGCATTTAGAAAACTGTTACGTATACATGCATTAAGTTTCAGGGAAGATCCAATATGTTAATTCTCTCAATTTCACAGAATCTATTTTTGGGGGCTGTGAGGGAGTTTTTTTTAATATTATTATTTATTTATTTATTTTTATTAAAAAAACTCCAATGTTGTCTACTAGGCTACTTTGATAGCTTCTCATCAATTGCAAGGCTTTGCAAATAAGCTTACTAGAAGAGGTTTATGAGATATATCATGCCTCTCTGTTGCTTCACAGTTTTAAGGGGTAGCTATTTCTCCATCCATATAACATTTGTAAATTTGGTTGATCTCTATCTATTTCTATTCCTATTAGAAGATGAGATATCAAAGGTTTTAGTCACATCTGGTGGAAGAGTAACATCTTTACCCCCCACAAATAAAAAAGGGAACATGTACAATGGCAATATGGCCTGTATTAGTTGTATGGTCTTATAGGATGTCAAATATCTTATTTATTCATGAAGTTATTGACTTCATTTTTTGTCTAATTTTCACATCAAGGATCTTCCTTACTATTATCGGCAATGGTTGAAAGTCTAGGTGTTTTCAACTTGATGGATGAGGGTAAATTTTGCTGTGAAGATCCTTGACTTTCTGTCAAGAAATGTTAATAATTAGAAGTGGAACTTTATTGCTTTGAACATATAGATCTAAGTTGTCAAAATATTACCATGTAGGTTGTAGGGCCTTGGACAACTACTATTCTCTGTTGCTATCTTTTTCACTTTTAGGTATACAAACTGAAAACATCTGAACTTTGAGATGTTTGATGTAACTTTGAAGGAGGTGAGGTGCATAACACCTCTGTTTAAAAACTTTTAATTTCAACTTATGTGTTCTCACTCCTATCTGCTCAATATAGATATTATTTCATCATAATATACAATATCAAGTCAATCTGCATTCCTTTTAATAGATGACCTGTCTTGGATGGAGCTTTATATTAATCTGTACTATATGGCTTGATTGTTTAGCTTTAGAAATGACAAGAATGATGTACGTAGTATATCTTTTTCCTACTTTCATATTATACTCAGAAATGTCTCATTGTTTTTATCAGCTTGCAGATATTATTGCAGCTTTACCAAGAAAGTTGATCGTGTTTGTTACACATCATCATGCTGATCATGTGGATGGTAAGTCATTTTCAATGTTTTTCATAATTTTATTTCCAGGAATGTTGGTTCTGATAGGAGAATTATTTTGAGTTGCCATACATGGCCATCGTTGATGAAACTCATGAAAGAGCTATTGCATGTGGCCTACATTCTTGATTGCTTGAGATATAATGTTGATCCAATATCAAAACCTGTTTTGTTTCCTGTTCCTTGGTCTTGTTTGTTGTCTTCACTGAGCTGTGAGCATAATATTATTGGTGCAGTGGCCATTATTGCTACTCCACTTAGCAGTTCTCTTGGCTAACATATGAGTCACATAAGTTAACTAATTCATTGTGTGCTCTGAATGTGCTATAGTGGCAATTGAATTGTTTTTCTGGCACCTCTTTTTGTGAATCGTGCATGCTTTTTATACTGTTGTTCTGTGGCATATTTTCTCCAGTCAGAGCTTTTTTCCAGTGAATTTTTAATGTCATTATCTCTCTGCAGACGAGGCTTGTTGAGGTTCAAATGTGTTTCAGTATACCTCTAAGGCCGTGTCCAACATGTCTGTAGCAAAGCATTTCTTGAAAGCTGCAGTGATCTGCAAATCATGTCTCTTGTATTTGACTTACTGCTTTTGTGGATTTGTTCAGGTTTGTCAGCTATTCAAAAATGCAACCCTGATGCAATTTTATTGGCTCACAAATACACAATGCATCGTATTGTAAAAGGTATTTTCTATACCCAAGTCGAGGTTTCATAAATGAATGAATATGTATAGTACTATAGTTATATCAAACCTGCATTGGTCTACTATCTCCAGTTTGATTTTGTGGCTTAGACAAAAAATTTTGCATGTGGCATTGGTGATTATTGGTAAACGAGGGGAATTTATGATGTTTCTTGAAGTTATACAAAGGATAGATTTTAAGTTTGGTTTTGGGAAGGTATATGATAGGTAAACCTAAAGTTCTAGGATAAGGCTATAGGGTGTTAAGGGTTTGAATTAGGTAGAGGAAGTGGATCTTTGGCATTGTTTGAAAAGGCTTAAAGTGCATTAAGCCGATAGGGGCCTGAACCTAGGCACAAAGCACAAGCGTGAAGTGTGCGCAACATCAAAGTGCGGCACAATTCTTAAAAAATAAAAAAATAAATAAAAATCTGAGTGTAAAAACAGTTGCAGATATGAAGTTAATGCTAGCACTAAACAGTTTTGTGCTTGTGTGTTCATCGAAAACATATCACCTAGGCCTTTCTAAGATTTTGGGCCACAGCACCTTGGGCGTCAGCACAGCTTTTTTAATTACTGATCTGGAGGGGTTTGTTGTAAGCTGCTTATTTTGGGGCCACAAGGGGTTTGTAGTAAGCTGATCTTCTCTTCAGAGACTTGCACTGAAAGGGGTTTCTGTTTCTCATCCACAATGGATAGTATCTTGTGTGTCTATGCTTATCGTGCTGGCTGTAAGAATGTGCTTAATGCAATTCAGGTGTTTGTATCTGGTAGTTTCTGGCTTTAAGATCATTATAGAAAGTACTTAGAGGGATTGATTTGGACCTGTTTTCTCTTGCTCCTGCAACATCATTTCAGAGCTTAGCTGGAACGACAAATCTATTCCATGAAGGGATTAGGAAAAAATCTTGCTTTGAAGTTTGAACTGTCTTTTCATTGCTCTCCAAACATGACTCCTATAAAGTAGCCAAGAATCCAAATTGACTATGTGATTTTGTGCCTCTAGAGTCCAGATGTCCACAGTCAACACAGAAAGCTTTCATTGTACCATAATAAAAGGGGACTGACTTCTGCATCCTTTAACTTCAAATAGGTGGGACCCAAAAGAAGTAGCAAGCTCACAATATGTTAATAGGAGGCATCCTGTCTCACCATTCTTAATATACATAACATGTATCAGGAGAAATATACATATTCTGAATCTGTATAGGAGACTGACTGTGAGCTATATAAAGCTTCATGGAGTGCAAGACCTTTCAATTCCTATGTTAACAATACATTAGTATTGTTATACGAGGTACACTGACTATTACATGGGGCTTCCACATTTTGTGATTTGGACTTTTGGGTTGGTACATATTTGCAGGTTTTTACGCTCCTACAGCTCTACATCTTAATAGTGTTGTTTTCTAGATTCAAGATCAAGCCCATATAAAATTAAGAATATCTATATTAATGAATGAGCTTATTTGTTAGTTATTTAATCATACTGTAATAGACTAACCTTAGAAGCAATTTGGGAAGTCTAAAATTATTAGGTTAGAGTCTTTAGCTTTAGTATAAATAGATAGAGGAGGGAAAGGAAAAGGTAGGCAGAAATTTGTATGGAAGGGAAACCTTAGAGAGTCATGGCCTAAAGCCATTTTGAGAGTGATACTCTAAAGCAACCTATCATTTTGTAACCTTTTGGGCATTATCAATCAAAATTTAAGCTTTAATCTTTATTTACTTGCACTATTAAATCAGAATTATAAACCCAGAAAATCAGTTCATTACACATGAATTCCAAATTTAAGACAAGTGTATGATTGAAGTAAATAAAACAAATGATTAGTGCTAAGAACTTCTAAGTAATGATAGTGGAATACAATTTGCTGGACCATCAGAAATCCATTCACTATATTTTGGTTTTGCCAGTTCACATAGCTCTCTGAAAGTTATTATCTCATAGAGGTGCATCTATATTTAGGGTCTAAGCAAATGTTAATTCATTAGTAACTACTTTCATGAAGATCAAAAGTGTTATAATAACTTTGTTTGACTGCAGATGACTGGTCTCTTGGGTATACATCAGTTGCAGGTGGGGAAGAAATAAATGTTAGGGGCCAGCGACTTCAAGTCATTTCAGCCCTGGTATTGTATAGGCTAACTATTACATCCTTACATTATTGGATTTACTGTCCAAGATTATATTTAGTTTCTATTAATCAAATATCTCTCACCAGAACCTGAGTGTCACTAAAGGAGAAATTCATGGACACTCCTTGATTCCTTTTCTCGACTACTCAGGATTATTATTGGTATACTCTTAGTAACCTGTGTGGCTGGCCTCCTGGATCTGATTCTTCACAGTTCCTTAATAGATAACCAATAAATTGTCTTATGCATTACAGTTTTATTGGACTTTGTAATGGGCTTAAACTTTAAAGCTTCATTATTCAAATTAATTATAGGCTTTTGACTCTCTTCTACTCAATGAGACTTATGGAATGAGAAATTTATGTAGAACAATTAAATTTACCCATAGGTGCGTGGAATTTAAAAAGTGTTTATGATTTATTGGATACATTTATTTGATTTTTTATGCTATCTGTATATTTTGTACTATAGTTGTTTATCCGCATTCTTCTAGTCCTTATGGAGGATGATATTTTCCAAGTTTGATAGATTTAAGTCTTTCAATAACAGGGCCACACGGATGGTCATATGGCATTGCTCCATATCAATACTCATACGCTGATTGTTGGTGATCATTGTGTTGGGTAAGGTCCTCTTAAAGTAGATACATATAGAAATATTGCTCTATGATCTGTTACATATAGGTACTAAGCAGAGCTAAATATATTCTGTGTGAAATCTTTGCTATTCAATTCAATTTCATTTTTTATGAAGAATTTATGTGCTAAAATATTCATATCTTGGTACTCCGTACATGGTAGTCACATGTGCGAATGTGCAATGTTTTCCTTGGAATATAGTGACTATATTCACAAGATCTCTGTTCTAAAATTGTTGGACGGGGAATATGCTTTTGTTACATGTTTATCTGAGTCAGAGCGCTTGCTTCTGGAAAATCCTCCATCTTGTATAGTTCAAACTAGCAAGGAATGTTGTAAATTTAGTTTCTAGCACTCTTGAAAAGAGATACATTCGTAGTTTCTATGATTAATTTGTGGAAACTTTTTTTGATTGTACAGGAAAAAGGAAAGATTTTTCTTAAATTTTCTGATCATAGGTGCATCTTGTTATATTCTGTTGTTATGTTTGAACCATTGATGTATTAAGAGATTTATTGATTAACTGATGTTGCAGGCAAGGTAGTGCGGTTCTAGATGCTTTTTCTGGTGGAAATATGGGAGTAAGCTGATTGTGTATCTTTACCCAAATTTTTTTTTGTCATAGTCTTTTTTCTTTTTTTTTTTTTTTTTTTTTGGGGATCATTTTATGTTATCCACACCATCTTATTATTTGTGCCGAGTATTCTGCCTATTTATAAATACCCTGAAACAAATGCCCCCATTATAATTTTGAATGAAATAAAGATAATTGGAAAAAAATTATCAGGCTTGAACTCAACTAGCAGGAACTAATTATGGGAGTAGCTAATTTTTTCTTTTTTCCATGCTTCCCTACATTGAATTGCAGGAAGAGATTGTTCATCTTGAAAGGCTATAGCCGCTATACTTTGATCTCATCACCTCACCAATGCTTACTTTTCTTGCAGGAATACTTTAATACGACATACAAATTCTTGGAGCTTTCTCCAAATGCTTTGATTCCTATGCACGGAAGAGTCAATTTGTGGCCAAAACACATGCTTTGTCGATATCTCAAGTATGAACTGCATTTAATGGTTCTCTTCTTTCACTGTTTCACATATAAAGCATATTCCATATTTTTTGCTAGATGAGCTATTGCCGTGGCAATTTTATGTGTGTAATTTTCTTTGTCACAGCTTGTTCATAGTTGTGTATGATTTTCTATATATCTGGCCTCATATATCTTGTATAGTTTATATTCTCAGATCACAGCAGCTTGTGGATGTAATATTGTGGTAAATAACTGAAACTGTAGCTATAAAATATCTTACAATGCATAGTCTGATTTCAGGAATCGCAGAGATAGAGAATCTTCAATCTTGAATGCCATAGAACATGGCAGTACTACTTTATTTGACATAGTTTCCACTCTATACAAAGACATCGATCGTGCCCTGTGGTATGTTGCTGCATCAAACGTGAGGCTCCATGTTGAGCATTTAGCTCAACAACACAAGTTACCTGAGGTAATGTCCACAGTGCTATTTACTGTTGTCTATGCCAATCCAATGTTCATTTGTGTATTCATATTAATTCATTCTCATCATATCGATATAGCCCGAGAATGCATCTGGTCAATAGTCGGTTTGCATTTGTATATCAAAGCAACACTACCCTATCCAATGAGGTTTTTGCCAAGTTTGGGCCTGGTATTGGATTCTGTAAGATGTATTTGCTAGAGCAACCCCAGAATTACGGCAATAAATTCATGCCATGGATTGTTGATTTTATTTTAAGGTCGGGAAATACTTATTTCATGCTATGAGGCACTAACCAATACCAAATTCACACATCACTCTTTTTACCTGTTCGACAGGTTAAAAAAAAAAAAAAATTGAAACTATTTTGAGAAGGGTTACCCAATAGTTGGGATTATTCTAGATTAAACTATAGATGGGATTAAAATAGGAAGGATGTCAAAAATTGGGATTATTCTTGTTAATTTTTCCTAAAAAAAAAAAATCTAAAATAATTGTAGTATGTAGTAGATGTTAACTTGTTGCTTCACTATTAGCGTCTTTATGTAAGGAGCAGAAAAGCTTGCCAATGATTATCTCTTCAATCATGATAGTTATATTATCATAAGATCTGTAGGAAATTTGGTTAGCATTTTTAATACTAACATGTGCGTATCTTACTAATTAAGATTTTACTCTGAAAGAAAATTTGTTTGAGGACTGCAGGTCTTTTCTTTAGAAACTCACAGTGTTGCTGCATTTGGTGACGAGTTGAGCAAATTGTAATTAAGAGATGCTGTTTTCTAGGCTCATTGACCTCTTTAGGTTAGAAGCGCTGCTCTAACACTTGCTGAATTGTATGTCTGTATAAAAGAGGAACTATTTGCACACTATTTCATCATACATGATGAATCTGATATTGTACGCGTAAATTGCTTATTTAGCTTAGCTTCTGCTTTCTTTCAGACGAAAAGTTTCATATTATTTCTAGTGTAATTTTCTTTCTTTGATTATCCAGAGTTGTACAGTTCATTTAGTTTCCTTGTTTCTCCTAGGGCATGTCCTTGTCAAAACTTCAACGAACTTATGGAGTACATTTTGCACTCAATTGGATCTGGGCATATACATGCAATTGGATTTCATCAAAGATTATGAAGATTAGACAACCTAAACTCATTGTTTCTGTAGTTATTGCTTGCTTTGCTGCATTGTATATTTGTATTGTGTGAGAACCATGCCTACTTTAAATCATTAGTTTAATTCCGCCATGACTATGGATCCTTGGTGAAATAATTGTCTGGCTGACAAGGTTAATCAAGCAATGTAACTATATTATGTTCGCAGTTGTAATCTGATCATCTCCAGGCTACACCTCATAGTTATTGTGTATCTATCTTATTTTTGAACTTGTACTGCCGTGTAATGCTCGTAAAAAATTGGACTTGCTGGGTAGGTTAGTTTCATCTTGTGTAAATTTGGCTGATGAGCGATACCATATTCAGTTCGGTTTTGTTTGGTTTGTTTCTCAGTGATGTGCTCATTCCTCCATTTTTGTTTAGTTTACTACATTTTTTACAATAACTAATTTACGAATGCGTTTGTAAAAAAAAAAAAAAAAAATTACGAATGCTTTCAAACGAGACATTGTCACACGCATAAAGTAATTTATGTGAGAGAAAACTGGTGGGTCCAAAATGTTCAAAACAGAAAGTATTTTAGGATTATTATATAACCCATATAAATAAAGAAAAAAATGAAAATATTTGTTGTTGAGTCATCGGATATAGAAACTACACACGAGAAAGGTTCTCTAATTGCTTCCCCTTGTGTTTATTCACATTATTTTTGACGTGTGTTTTATCAGTTTTTAGTTCATTAATTGTGTGAAATTAATGTGTTTAATGTGATATTAATCACTTTTCTACTGTATTTTGGCACCTTTTTCATATCATGCACGACTATCTTGTTCTAAAAACGTGTATAGTCTTGCTAGTAATCTCTTTTCCCTCCTCTTCCCTCCTAAAACCACCTGAAAAATTAACATTGTTCATAGAGGAAATGGAGCAACAAAAGCTGGATGTTTATGTGAAAGGCTCATGGCTAAGAAAAATGGTTAAGGAAAGCAGCTCTCAGTTTGCAGCCATTCAAGTTATTTCCGCCATAACCTTTACTATTACGATTGCATTCTTTGTTATACTCCTTGGGATCTTTGTCAATGGTCGCATCAGGAAATTCCTCGTTTCTGAAGACTTCATACCAATACAAAGCATGCCTGTTTCTGGCATTGAACTATCAGGTAATGGATTCAGAGACTTTGGTGATTGGATAGCTCCGAGGAGATTATGGCACACAATGTCTGATCAGGAGCTCTTGTGGCGTGCTTCTATGGTACCTCACATTAAGGATTATCCTTATAATAGGACACCTAAGGTGGCGTTTATGTTCTTGACCAGAACGATGTTGCCGCTTGCACCATTGTGGGAGTTGTTCTTCAAGGGACATCAAGGCCTCTACTCAATTTACCTCCATACATCATACGAGTCCATTGACGAGCCTGTTGAATCATCCGTGTTCTACCAGCGTAGAATACCTAGCAAGGTCTATATTTTTTGCACCTAATTAGTTCTTTTATATGATGCACGTCTCACTGTTAGGTTCGTAGAATTTTGTTTCCCTTTCATAGTATGTTTAAGACCCGCCAAGGTTTAAAAACATTCCTACTCATATTTCGTTTCTAGCTATTACTAGACATAATCTAGCAGATAACATATGATAATCATGTACATACGGAGCAAAAACCAATGAACGTCACATTAGGGCTTGTTTGGCATCGTTTTTGGTTTTCAGTTCTCTATTTTTTTTAAAACAAAAAACCAAAAACAAGAAACAAGAAAAAGATGTTTCCACTTTTTTATTATCAGTTTTCAAAATTATCATGATTTTAATAAGTTTGACTAATTTTTGATTCATTATATGACATATATCATATGATTTTGAAAAAAAAAACCAAAAAACAGAAAACCACGACAATTTAGTTATCTGTTGTTGATTATGGGCGAAGAGGTATGAAATTTGTGTCATTAACAATGAAGAATTTAAGTATGTCCTCTAATTCCTGTTTTCCATTATTTTTTTATCACTTTTTTCTGTTGTTGTAGATATAAAAAAAAACGGCAATTATGCCTAAACGTAATACTATTAACATAAATAATTCATGCTAACTTGAATTTTGCTTTCTTCAAGCAATAATTTTACGTATCATATACTACACGTTATTGGCATGTAACAATATTTTTTGTGGTTTCGTGCTCGCAGCCAGTGGAATGGGGAAGGGCAACCATGGTAGATGCAGAAAGAAGATTACTAGCTAATGCCCTACTTGACTTCTCTAATGAAAGATTCATATTACTATCTGAATCCTGTATTCCTTTATTCAACTTCAGTACTATATACGACTACCTCATCAAGTCGAAGCACAGCTTCGTGGGATCGTTTGATGACCCAAGAAAGGTGGGACGAGGCAGATACAACAAGCGTATGGCACCTGCTATACAATTATCAGATTGGCGTAAAGGAAATCAGTGGTTTGAACTTAACCGAGACCTTGGCATTGCTGTAGTATCAGATGAGGCATTCTACCCTGTTCTTCGAGATCATTGCAGGCCTCCATGTTACATGGATGAACACTACTTACCTACCCTTGTGGTGAAAATTGGTAAGGACTTGAATTCTAACAGAAGTATTACTTGGGTTGATTGGAGTAAGCCTGGTTCTCATCCCACGACGTTTGGTAGAAAGGATGTTTCTGAAAGGTTCATGAGTCGAGTTAGAGATCAATCTGATTGTATATATAACAATGTGCCAGGCTCGTATTGTTTCCTCTTCGCAAGAAAATTTCATCCTAATACACTTGAGCCTTTGCTTAAGATAGCACCTGTTTTATTTGGGTTTAATAAACAATAAAAGTGTAACTAGGATGATCTTCTCACCTCTCTTTCACTCTTTGTATCTGCGTTTGAGATTTTTGTCTTCTGAGACACTCTACAAATACAAGAATGTTGTTCATAAATTAAAATGAAAAGTTGAGAAATATCTAAATGTTTTTATTGCAACTTGTTTGTGTTGTGATTTAAGACCAAAAAAACTAAGTTGCTCGCAATTGACACCCACAATCATCAACGAACAAGAACAAGCAAGTACATGCAAGAACCAATCAAAGATAGTGTTATACAAATGGATTTTTTTACGAAATTGAGCTAATTTCACAAACTATTTACCAATCTAGACGCGTGGCCAAACTATTTACCAAACTAAGCTTTTGAGATAAAACGCTGCCTCGGTCAGCGTTTTACCCTTTAATTTTTTTATTTTTTTTTTATTTTTAAATTCGCATTTTTTTGTGAAAAACAAATTAAATCGAAAAAAAAACTGAAAATACCAAAAACGCTGCCTGAGGCAGCATTTTAATTAGGTTTTTTTTTTTTTTTTTTTTAAATGTTGAAGGGTTTTATGTCAAAATAACAGGCCATAAAACGCTGCCTTATTCAGCGTTTTTTGTGTATTTATTTTTAATATAAAACGAGTCAGCGTTTTATCTACTGGCCTGATATGTGCCCTTCAAAATTTTAAAAAAAAAAACCTGAAATACACAAAAACGCTGCCTCAGGCGGCGTTTTTTGGTATTTTCAGTTTTTTTTCGATTTAATTTGTTTTTAACAAAATACGAAATTTAAAAAAAAAAAATTAAAGGGTAAAACGCTGACCGAGGCAACGTTTTCCCTCAGAAACTTAGTTTGGTAAATAGTTTGGCCACGCGTCTAGATTGGTAAATAGTTTATGTATTAAACTCAATTTGGTAAAAAATCCTATACAAATTACAATACAGAATAGCAAAATAAATACAACGAAAAAGTTACAAACTAAAATAGGACAAAATTAGAATGGAAGATACAGCAGAATAATCCATTCTACATGGACATTTTGTGTGTGAATTGTGAAATGTTGAGTGGCGTGCCAGATGCCTAAACATTTTTAATACACATATACACAGGTTGATAAACACATCAAAACCATCATTTTCTTTTCACTCTTAAATTCACACCATCGAAAACTACTCAAAACAGATAGATTTACAACTGTACCAGAAAGACAAATTTAGCATGGGAAACCGAGAGCCTAGAGGAAAACCCAATATGCTTTCATTTCTGAATTCACTCGGATGTCCTCTTCTTCATGCTCCCCTTCCATTTCCAAACTTTAAAAAAAATAAAATGAGCAATGACCAAACCTATAAAAGCACGCCATTAATTACCTGCTCACCAACCTCGCTCTACACTATTATCACATAATACTCTCTCTTCCTCAACTACTCATTTAAACTTCAACACGTCTGTGATTTTGTTCATCGTAAAATCCCCAATTTAATTACACAAATCATTCGCCCTAATTTTTCTAAGCAACAATGTCGATATACAAACTTGCTGTGATCATCAAAAACCCTTTAAATAAGGAGGAATTTCTCCTAGTCAAGCAAATTAGACCTCGCAAATTCGGAATTGAAGAGTATGATTCTTACATTGATTCTGATCTCTGGGATTTTCCATCTGTTCAATTGAGTATTTTACAAGGTGAATCGGAAATTCAAGTTGAAGGAGCTGAATCATGCTCTGCTAAACTTGATTTGAAGAAATTTGACCTGGATTTGGCTTTAAATCAGGTTTTAATGATCATTTAAGTGGAAAATTGGAAATTGTTTATTTAATTTTGGTATGTTGAATTTTGGTTGAAATTGAATGTTTAATTTTATGAGTGGTTTGTGTTTTAGGTTTCAGAGCAGGTTGGAATTGAGAAGTTGGTTGAAGGGCAGTGGAAGTTCTGGAAGTTTGTGGAAGAGCCTGAATTCGGACCGGGACCTCCGATTCAAACGGTTTTTATCACTGGCTACTATGGAGTTGATGATAAAAGTTGTGATGGTTAGTCCTAACCCTTTTTTTGTTTGCATGGAATGTTTGTGGTTGGAAGTTATGCCATAGTTATGTCGATTTTGCGATTTGGACTAGCTATGTGACAACTAACTGGGACATCGGGGGTAACAGTTTCTGTATTGCAAAGTAAACAAGGACAATGGAACAATTTGTGATTGATAATGTAGGTGTTGAGCTTAGTATGGTGCAATGTGGAGTATTTTCGTGGTTTTCATAGTTCTTTTTGAATCTTTGCTGTGGTTTATTTAGTTTGTCATGCCAGGATGTACCTGAGGAGTTGTGTATTGATGATATGAATATGGTGGTCATGCTTGGATTCTCCATGCCTCCACTTTGTATGTATTGATTGCCCGAAAGTGAAATAAACTTAACAAAAACTGATATGCTGGTTCAATTAGATGATTTACTGATCAATGGTATTACATAATTGAGATTGGAAAAACAGTATATAAATCTAAATTACACATTGTTTAGATAGAAGGAAATAGAAGGAAAAGAAGGGAAGAGATTGGGAGGAGGACAATATCTCTTGTATAGGTAATGGATTGGGTGGAGGAAGGGGAAGGAAAGGGATTGATTGATATGAATCTAGACCCAAATATATGAATCTTGATTCTAAAATAAACGTAATTGATAGAAAATACGCTCGATCACCCCCGAAAGAACGAATTGGTTTTTGAATCCCTTTAACCACCACTCTTGAATAAGGTATTCAATTAATATATTTTTTTTTTTTTGAAAGAAGTCCCAAAGGACATTAATTTTCATTAATGAAAGCCATACGACATCTACAATTGACAATTAACAATAATGAAAACAGGTTTAACAAAATCAAATAAGAATTAACTAGGGAAGTGCTAAGAATCGAAATACGTAGATATAACAATTCGGCACATTCTTGATTCGTTGTGTCATACAACTTTTTGAGAGGATCCGTCGCCGCTTCATAATTTGATTGTGAGAGAGAAAATTCTTGTGTTGATTCCGTAACCCGAATTCAGCCAATAATCAATTGTAGCCCCGCACAACTAGAGACCATATTAAGCGCAAATAAAACCTTGTCTTTTGAAGGAGTTTGAAAAACCTTGTCTTTCGAAGGAGATCGGAAAAACCTTGTCTTTCGAAGGAGATAAACCCTTTCTTTCGAGGGAGACATTATTATAATCTAAGAAACAACAAAACAACGTAAAAGAAACAAAGATTAGGGCTTTCCACCGGTGAAATCCGATGGAAGCCCCTTCAAAATTAACAATGGAGGCTAGAGGGTATGAGAGAGAAGAGAGAGGAGAGGCTATTCAATTAATAATCTTAATCTATTCTGAAATAAGATTAAATGTTTGTGTATCACTCCTAAATCAATCAATCAATCAATCAAAGCCTTCAAATGTTTGTGTATCACTCCTAAAACACAAGAAATAAGATTAAAGGAATAAACTTAATTTTATTAACCTCAATCTTTATTCTGAATAATAAAGTAGTACAGTTCCCCTTATATATGGTTATTAGACTAACATGAAACCCTAACCGGAATAAAACCCTAACATAATTTCTAGCTACCCATAAGCCCATAACATTACTAACCCGCAGTATTATAGTACTAATTAACTCACAATGTATATTCGAGGTCAATTTTACCTACAAAATAAACCACAACCAATAATCAAAAAGATCAATTGGAGTAATTATTAGGGACCTTTTCACATTCACATCAGGGATCCAATTTCCCTCTCTCTTAATAAGCACATTCCCCCAAAATTGGCAAGATTTGGAGGGATAATGGAGCTCACCTTTCCCCTCCCTTTTTCTTTCCTCCCCTTCCTTTTTCTTCCTTCTTTTCTATTTTAACAAAGCATTAATGTTGAATTTGCTTGTGCAAGTGATGGGAGCATATTCATACTGCTGGCTTTATATAGTAATAAACTGAGAGAATAATGCTGATGACTCATTCTTCTTTATAATGGGGTTTTGTATGAACTAATGGCTTGTATCTGATATAATTTAGTTGTCTTGGGGATCACTGTAATACTTTTGAACACTAAAGTAGTCAAATAGGAGTGTAGGACTAGGAACAAATTCTTGAAACAGTAAAAAAATTATAGTGCTATTACCTGATTAGATACAAGAATTAACTACCTCATTAATTAATTTATGTTTTTATTTGTTCTTCTCATTGTAGATACGTACATAAATCAAAGTAAATTTTGAAAATGGTGAGGTAGTGGAAGAAAAAGATGGATAAAGTAATAGAGATGTGCTAAAAAGTTGGGTGGATGTAAGAAAGAGGTAGATAAGGGAAGATGGAGAGAATAGAAAGGTGTAAAGATATTGTGGGGTAAGATAGTAAAGAAGGTTTTCCATAAAATGGAATTAAGTACGGAGCAGAACTAGACAAATAAAAATCGGATGTAATACTGACGTGTTCATCTTCCTTCTGCTCTTATTTCCTGTAGCTATAAATATAATTGTGAATTATGATATTATACTCAACTGTTCCCTCTGCCCCACTTTGATGTGGGATGGAAAGAGTATTTAAGAAAAAATAGCTAATGAGTGCATGAATTATGGGAATATTATTAATTTATGGCCAGCTTGATAGTTGTATCTGAAGTTCATATGACTTTCTCATAAGTAACTTTTTTCTTCTTTTCTATTGAGCAAATTCATATGCAGTGGCATGCCAGTGGATGTCCTGGTCTAATTGCTCCAAATGGCTCTCCGAAGTAACACAGGATAGTTATCGTATGGGGCCCTTGGTGGTTAATGGTTTTCTACACGACTCTAAATACTCTAAGTGGCATGTTCCGCGTAATTTGAATTACCAGGTTGGTTCTAATTTATACTGGTGTATATTTATTTATTAATTTTTTTGATGAAGCAGTTTATTTTGCTTTGTTTTCTTTTATTGCGGAATACAGTCACAAACAGAGATCAACTCATGCAAGTATTCGATCATTAGTCTGTAATTGTGTTGGTTCTTTTAATACCATCGACTCTCTTATCATGAATTCCAGTTGATGTTGTAAATCTGTAAAAATCATTCTCTGATGACGTTTTGTTCTTTACTTTGTCACTTTTACAGGAATATCCTCTGGGTGTTAGACTTGTACCGATGGAAAGTAGAACTGGCAAGCCTTTCTCCACTACGAACTTGTTAGTCATTGCTCCACAGATTGTTGCCAATGGGGAAAGCGGTAAAGATTTTATTGCTCATGGAGATGCACTAATAATAGATCCAGGATGCAAATCTCGGTTGCATCAACAGGTATACTTTTAGCCAACTCATCTTAAGACACCTTAATTCTGAAAGAACTTTCATTAATTCACTGCACGTATGCCAACATGGTAATTTCTTGTAAATATATAGCATAAGATGAAGCCCACTCTTGCAAAGTGTGTATGACTTTATACTAGAAGCAATTGCCTCATATGTATGAATGTGATTCACATGAATATTGAGAGTTGAAAATGGGGATATATTGCATAGAATTTTCTATATTGCTATGAGAGTTTTTAGAATCCTGGTAATCGTTGTCTTTGGTTGGAAGTAGTGTTCATAAGCTCAGGGATTGTCGACAAAAGGGATGTCTGGTGCTTGATAGCAAATTCACAATACTTTATTCAGTTCTAGATATCTTCTCTGCAAATGACTGAATGTTGTCTTTAGTTGTATATAAGGTTCTTTTTGTTTGTATATTTGTAGTGCATTCGTCGTTCATTAATCATAGTAAATTAAATCTTAGGGTGATGGAATTGGTGAAAGTCCTGATGAATTTATATATTTAATAAAACTAAAGACCACGTAGGGTAGTTCTTTTCATAGATGGAAATCATCCATCAGAATCACCGGTGGAAGATAATAAAAAAATTATTAGAGTAAATAAGGAAAATTATTATGTATAGAGTGCATTAAGGCTATGTGTAGTTTACCTTATATAAGTACCTTATTACTTATTTTAGACTACATCAGAGAAAAACAAAGAAGTTTTGTTCAGATCAAGAAAAATAAGTTCATATAAGACCTTATCGTTTTATGTGCTATTTTTTTGTCATTAAACATCCATTAATTCCATATAGAAAAATTTATGGGAATTACATATTTAGAATATACATATTAATACAAAACTAATTAGACCTCATTTGATATATTATTCCCTTATGGATTACTATTTCTAATCAAATCAGAAAATATAAGTTCACCTTAGAAAAATAATTTCAGATAACCAAAAATAAGGTAAAATAAACTTAGCCAAAGTTTCAGGGAAGATCAGTATGTTATTCTCTCAATCTCACATATTCTGCATTTGGGAGTTGTCAGCGAGTTTGGATTCCTTTTATTCGTAAACCCTAATACTGTCTACTTTTTGATAGCTTCTCATAGATTGCAAGGCTTTGCAAATAAGTTTTCTAGTAGAGGATATATGAGAAATTTGAGAAATATCAAGCCTCCCTCTTGCTTCACAGTTTTAAGGGGTAGCTATTCCCATCTATATAATTATTCTTTAGTTGGTTGATCTCTATCTACTTGTTTTCTCTTCCTATTAGAAGATATGGTATCAATGGTTTTAGTCACTTCTGGTGGAAGACTAAAATTATCAACACCCCCCCCCCCCTCCCCCAACCCCTAAAAAAAAAAAAAAAAAAGGGAACATGTAACATGACTATGTGGCTTGTATCAGTTGCATGGTCTCATAGGATGTTCAAATATCATACTTATTCATGAAATTATTGACTTCATTCTATGTCAGATTCTTCACATCACGGATCTTCCTTTCTATCATCGGCAATGGTTGCAAACTTTAGCTGTTGTTAATTTAATGGATAAGGAGAAGTTTTCTGTGAAGATCCTTTACTTTCTGTCAAGATATTTTACTGTAATATTTTTTTTAAGGTTTGCTTAAACTTTGAATTGTGTAAAAGTAGAACTTTATTAGTTTGAACATAGATCTAAGGTGTCAAGATATAACCATGTGGGTTGTAGAGCCTTGGAAAGCCATTATTCTCTGTTGATATCTCTCTTTCACTTTTAAGTATACAAAGAGAAATCCAATGTATGAAAACCATCTGTAACTTGAAGATGTGAGGTAATTTTTGAAGGAGGTGAAGTGGATAAAACTACCTCTTTTTAAAGGCTTTCAATTTCAACTTATGTGTTCTTACTCATGTCTACTCAATATAGATTTTGTTTCATTAGACAACCATCAGAATCTGTACAATATGGCTCGATTATTTAGCGGTAGGTATGACAAGAATAATCTATACTTTTTTCTACGGTCATAATATACTCAGACATGTCTCATTGTTTTTATCAGCTTGCAGATATTATTGCAGCTTTACCAAGAAAGCTGGTCGTGTTTGTTACACATCATCATCCTGATCATGTTGATGGTAAGTCATTTTCAATGATTTTCAAAATTTTATTTCAGTAAAGTTGGTTCTGATAGAAGAAAATAATTTAGGTGCCATACATGGCCACTGTTGATGAAACTCATGTCATGTGGTCTACATTCTTTTTTATTTATTCTTTCTAATATCCATGCGTGGTTGATTGCTGGAGGTATAGTGTTGATCCAGGATAAAAACCTTTTTTTTTTTTTTTTTCTTCTTCTCCTGTTCCTTGGCCTTGTTTGTTGTTTGTGAGCATCAAATTTGTTAGTGCAGTGGCCATTATTGCTATTTGGCTTAGCAGTTCCCCCGGCTAGCATATGAGTCACATAAGTTTACTTATTCATCGTGTGGTCTGAATGGTGTTATAGAAGCATCTGATTTTTTTTTTTTATTTTTTTTTGCCCAGATGCTTTGTTGTTCTGTTTCCAAAACGTCTGTAGCAAAGCATTTCCCGAAAGCTTTAGTGATCAGCATTTTCATGTCTTTTGTATTTGACTTGCTGCTTTTGTGGATATGTTCAGGTTTGTCAGCTATTCAAAAATGCAACCCTGATGCAATCCTCTTGGCTCACGAAAACACAATGCATCGTATTGGAAAAGGTATTCTCCTCTACCCATGTCACAGTTTCAAAAATTATTGAAGAGGTATAGTACTTTAATTGTAGCCTGAACCGGGTCTATTATCTCTGTCACCCAGTTTGCTTTTGTGGCTTTAAGGCCAAATTTGGACATGGCTGTAGTGATAATTGTTAAACGCGGGAATTTATGATGTTTCTTGAAGTTATATTAAGGGTTGAATTAAGCTTGGTTTTAAGAAGATATATGTTAGGGCGACCTCAGTTCTATGATAAGGTGATAGGGTGTGAAGGGTTTGGATTAGGTGGAGGAAGTGGATCTGGCCATCTGGGGCATTATTTGAAAAGGCTGAAAGTGCATTAAGCTGATAGGGGTCTGAACCTAGGAACAAAGCACGAGCGTGAAGTGCGTGCATCATAAAAGTGCGGCACAATTTCTTAAAAAAAATCTGTGTAAAAACTGTTGCAGGCATGAAGTTAATGCTAATACTATGCGGCCTTGTGCTTAAGTGCTCATTGAAAACACGTCGCCTAGGCCTTTCTAAGATTTTGGGCAGCACTACGCTGTCAGCACACCTTGTAAATACTGTTCTGGAGAGGTTTGTTGTAAGCTGCTTATTTTGGTTAGCCTTTGAAGTGTTTTGGGCTTAGGGGGCCACAAGGGGTTTGTAGTAAGCTGATCTTCTCTTGCTTTTTTTTTTTTGTTGGTGAATTTTTTATGTCTTCAAGTTAAGGGTGAAAATGTTAAGTCCTTTTCAGGGATTTGCATTGTGAAGGGGTTTCTGTTTCTCATTCACAGTTAGCAATATATATATTATCTTGTTTGTCTATGCTTATCTTGCTGGATGTAAGAATGTGCTTACTGCTATTCAGGTGTATCTGGTAGTTTCTTGCTTTAAGATTATTTTAGAGAAGTACTCAGTTAGTGGGATTGATTTGGACCTGTTTTCACTTGCCCCTGCAACATCAGTTCAGAGTTTTACTGGAGTGACATGTCTATTCCATGAAGGGATTGGGAGAAAATCTTGTTCTAAACTGTCTTCTCATTGCTCTTTGAACATGATGCCTACAAAGTAGCTAAGAGCCTAAGAATCCAAAGTTACTACTGCTATGTGATTTTTTGCCCTCCTAATGTCCATAGTCAACATAGATATCTTTCATTGCGCCATAAAAAGGGGGACCAACTTCTCCATTTATTCGCTTCAAATAGGTGGGACCCAAAAAGTAGGAAGATCACGTTATGTAAATAAGAGGCATCCTGTCTCACCACTCCTTAAACACATACTTCCTCCGTTCTTTTTTACTTGACTTGTTTCATTTGTCACGCTTGCCAGTGCAGAATTTTAACTATTGTGAAAGTATTTTACGAGAGGAATCTAACAAGACCCCACATGACTATATTTTACTTTACGTATAAATCATTATATGTGGTCAAACAAGCGTGATGAATTGTGCAAAAGTCCAGTTGTTGCAATAATACTAGAACGGAGGAAGTAAAAGTTATTATTATGATAATACTTATTATTTATTAAGACGATTCTAACAAGATCCCACATGATTATGTTTTTTCTTGCACTTAATTCACAAAAGACGATCAAAGGAGGGGCGGTGAATAGTGTAAAAGTCAAAGCGGGTCAAGTAAAAAAGAACGGAGGAAGTAACATGTATTAGAAGAAAGAGCTTTACACAGATTCTGAATCTGCATAGCAGACTTGACTGTAACTATATAAAGCTTCATGGAGCGCAAGACCTTTCAATTCCTACGCTTACATTACATTAGCTTTATTATAAGAGGTAGCCTGACTATTACATGGGCTTTCACCTTTTGGGTTTTGGGTTGGTACATTTTTTGCAGGTTTTTGCACCCCTACAGCTCTACATGTTAATAGTGTTGTTTTCTAGATTCAAGATCAAGCCCATATAAAATTTAGAATATTTGTAGCAATGACTGAATTTATTTGCTAGTTATTTATGGATCATGCATTCCAAATTTAAGCTAAATCTATGATTGAAGTGAATAAAACACATGTGTAGTGCTAAGAACTTCTAAGTGATGATAGTGGAAGCCAGTTTGCTGGATTTCAGAAATCCTTTCACTACATTAATGATATTGGAAAATTAGTAATCTATTGTTTTATAGAGGTGCTTCTATTTTTAGGGTCTATGCAAATGTTTATTCATTTGTAACTACTTTCATGGAGATCTAAAGTGTTATAAGTTTATAACGACTTTGTTTGACTGCAGATGACTGGTCTCTTGGGTATACATCAGTTGCAGGTGGGGAAGAAATAAATATTGGGGGCCAGCGACTTCAAGTCATTTTTGCCCCGGTATTGTATTGCCTTATGTTATTGAACCTGAGTGTCATTGAACAAGAAATTCATGGACACTCCTTGGTCCTCTCTACTACTAAGGATTATATTTGGTATACTCTTAGTAACCTGTGTGGCATGCATCTTGGACAGTGTTGTACTCCCTGGTCTCCTGTATCTGATCCTTCACATTTTACATATAATAAATAACCTACAAAAATTCTTAAGCATTTACGAACACCTTACTATTATGTAATCTTTCATTTATGAGGAAGCTATCATTGCATGCTTTTCACAGGAAACATTTATTTGTCATTTTATAATATTTGGGGGAGCATCTACTATCCAAATCCACCTGTAACCCACCATGGTGGATTAGGGCTGAGACCGGGGAGTATCTTCTTCCTCAATTCTACTTTTTTGATTTTTAGTCTACTACAAGGATCAGGTGGATCATGGATTGGGTAATATTGGGTTTTAGGTCCACATATTCTTTTTTTTTTTTTCCCCTGTTGCATCCTGACCCAAAACTGGACCAGGTAGAACCCAGGCATGTGTACTGTAATTTTATGATGTAAATTGAAAATCTTTGTTAGAAAAGCTGGAAAAATATGGTCTAGAGCCAGACCGTCATGTTTAAGTCTTGTACTGTTCAGACAAAGTGAGTCATGGTCTAGGTGGTTTAGGGTTTTAGGTCCAAATTTTTGTTCGGAGTATCCTGACACAAAACTGGCCCAGAGGACACCCAAAAACTTGAACTGTATTTTGATGATGTAAATTTTATGATTTTGTCGAAAAAGTTGGAAAGATATGGGCTCATACAAGGAGAGAATGCCGGCATGTGTAGGTCTTGTATTGTTCAGATTCTGGTTCATGCCCTGCTGAAGCTGCCTAGGAATGGCACAGCATGACCTGGGGCCAGTCTATTCAAGACCAGACTGACCATCTCCAACACCCCGATTTGGTGCCTGTACTGGCTCAAAATCGGCCTTGCCTAGCCCATTTTCACTTCTAGTAAGCAGTAATAGGCTTAGAAGGAAAAAGGTTGATTGAAGCTGTCCTGTTTGCTAATTTTTGAGGGAAATATTGTAATTAGTCCTTTTGCTAACTTATGACTAATTTGTTCTAAATACTGGTAATTTGTAGTGTATTGTTGGCATGACTAATTTTCTTCATGATTGTCATTGATAATATATAATGCAAAGATTGAAGTCATTGGACTTTGTAATGGGTTCAAAGCTTCATTATTCAAATAAACTATAGGCCCCTGACTCTCTTCTACTCAATGAGACATATGGAATGAGAAATTTATGTCGAACAATTGAATTTACCCATAGGTGCACGAAAATATAAATAAGTTAGTGTTTATGATTTATTGGATACAATTCAATATGCTATCTGTATTCTTTGTAGTTTGTGCACGAAAATATAACACCTTACTATAATGTAATCTTTCATTTATGAGGAAGCTTTTCTTGATTTTTATTGGAAAACATTTTATATAGTTTTAATTCTTCCAATAACAGGGCCACACGGATGGTCATATGGCATTGCTCCATATCAATACTCATTCACTGATTGTTGGTGATCATTGTGTTGGGTAAGGTCCTCTCAAAGTAGATACGTTTAGAAATATTGCTCTAGATCCCTTACATATAGGTACTAAACAGAACTAAATATATTCTTTGTGAAATCTTTGGTATTTAATTTTGAAAAATTAATGTGTAAAATATTCATATTTTGGTACTTGGTAGTCACTTGTGCAGTGTTTTCCTTGGAATTTAAAGAGACTATTTACAAGATCTTTGTTTTAAGCTTGTTCGACTGAAGAATATGTTTCTGTTACATGTTTATGTGAGTTAGAGCATTTGCTTCTGGAAAATCCTCCAGCGTATAGCTCAGACTAGCAAGTTAAAATTACCTCATATTCAAATGCATGTCGTATATATAGTTTCTAGCACTCTTTATAAAACAAACATTTGTAGGTTCAAATGTTAAATGATCAAGTTGTGGAAACTTTTCTTGATTTTTATTGGAAAAAAGAAAGATTTTTCTTGAACTTTTCATGATGACAGCTGGTGCATCTTGTTATATTTTGTTATTATGTTCGAACCTATGTTACATGGACTCGGGAACAGGTGTCGGACACGGACACATGTCCAAGTGTCCGATCCGACAAGTTCCAAAATTTTAGGACACGGGGATTCTGTCCGATATTTGGACACGGGTACGGGGACACATCTATACGTCACTTAAATTTATATAAATAAATTATATATTACAAAAGCTTTAAATTTTTCATTACGTCCACCCCTATTTTTATTGTTTTAATTCTTTTCTCAGTAAATTCTCCTAATAAATGGCAATGTTCTTCTCTCCATCTTCTCTATATCAATGGTGGTCTTCGAACAAGATGTGTTTTTCTGTCATTTTTCTCCTCTTTTTTCCTCTCTACTCTTAATGGAAGTGTCTGAGTGCACAGTGAAAGGTCGGACACGTGTCCCATGTCCGTGTCATGTCGTGTCGACACGGACACTTCGTGATTTTAGCCGCGCCCAATTAACATAGGTTCGAACCATCTGATGTAGTAAGTGTTTTTTTGTTTCATTGATGTTGCAGGCAAGGTAGTGCAGTTCTAGATGCTTTTTCTGGTGGAAATATGGGAGTAAGCTAATTACGTATTGTTACCCTTTTATTTATTTATTTTTGTATATCACATTCTTTTTTGTTTTTGTTCTCATTATTTGTGCTGAGTGTTCTACCCACTTTTGCTGCAGCATAAAATCTCTTCTAATGAGTTGTTGTGAGTTCATTTTTTTTTTAAATTTTAAATTCTGATTTACTTGCATTAAAGCAAGTGTTTTATTTCAGTTATTCTTTCCAAAGTGTCTAAAAGAAAAAAGGATTAAGTTGTAACAAAGATTAGTGAAGCTTTAAGCTAGTTAAGTTTTGAGGCTATTGGGCTAGCTACAAAATGACAAAGAAGTATGGGAAAGGGAAGAAGAGGAGTGAGAATATATTTTTGTATCAGATGATGTCAAGGGAAGACATCACAGAAGATGTGTACTGATTAAACAAGGGATTGAGTCTTTAAATGCTGCAGCTAATCCTTTGCTTATGTCCTTTCATTCCTTCATTAAGTGGAGTGATGTTTAATTGTTTATGCTGCAGAGGTTGCTTTTGAAAGTTTTGGTTAAAATCTTCCACCCCCCCTCCCCCCCCCCCCCCCAAAAAAAACTTCGTTTACGCGACACTCATATTTCCATCACTCATGATCAGTCGACCATCTCATCTGGAGCTTCATGTCATATTTTCCAGAATCACTTCAGAAATATTAAGTGTACAGATGACAAGAAGTATAAGAATTATCTCAAAGCTGTACTGATTCCCTTTACTCATGTAAGGCAATATATGTCCCCCAATAACAAGCTTAACACTTCTGTTAGATAGGGGAATGTGAGTGTTTGGAGGTATGTGGTTGTTTGAACTAGGTTTTAGGGAAGCTTTAGACTTGAAAAAATTCTAGCCAAAGTGCCTAACAGAATCTTTTAGAAAGCATAAAATTTATTGCATGTCCTGCTTTTTGGCATGCTTTCTGCACCACTCCATTAGTGTCTTTTTTAATACGGATTTTTCACCATATACCACTGAGTTATTTCGTAACTCACCATATACCACATGAAATTTTCTAATACAACAAATACCACTGAGTTTAACATAAATGTCACAACATGCCATTTCCGTTAACTCAGTTAGTCATTAACGTTAATTATGCCACGTGGCAGCTTGTAATTAGTTCTAATTAATATTATTTATTTAATTAATTAAATTTAGAAAAATTATTTTTAAAAATAAAATAAAAATTAAACACCACCAACACAAGCCACCGCTGCCCCCAGCCCAACCCCAACCCCCACCCTCGGCTAGCTGGCCGGCGACCATCCCACTCCTACTCCCCTTCCCCGAAAACCATCCCCCACCTGGAACCCGAAGCTTCACCGATTCCCCAATTCCCGATTTCCCCGCTGGTGACCATTCCCGTCCTACTCCTCTTCCCCGAAAACCATCCCCCACCTGTAACCCCTCCCCTGTCGGTTTCTTCCCCGAGTTTGTTGCTCCTGAGAGCATAGACAACAATCCATGGCAGTAACCCCTATCCCGTCCCTTTCCGGCCATCCCCCACCCACGAACCCTTGAAATCGGCTGAAGTCCCCACCACTGCACCCCTTATTCCCTCTCTATCACCCCAAACCCTTCGCCTGTGAATTTGCGATGCTGAAAAAATTGGTTGGGAAAAGAGGGGGAGGGGGTGGTCGGAAAAGGGAGGGGAAGGGGAAGAGGGGCTGCCGGCGAAGGGATTTTGGGGTGGTGGCTGGGTTTTAGGCTAGGAGTGGGGAATTGGGCTGAGGTGGTGGTTGGGGAATTTGGCTAAGGTGGTGGTTGGGCTAAGGTGGTGGCTGGGTCGGGGTTGTCGCTGACAGGGGAGGGGGATGGTCGCCGGCCTGCCAGGAGGTGGACCAGGCACCAGCCAGCTGAGGGTGGGGGCTGGCTGGGGGCGTTGGTGGTGTATTATTATTATATATATATATATATATATATATTTTTTTTTTTTTTTTTCTTTTTTTTTTTAAGTTAGTTAATATTAATAAGAGCCAATAAGTGATAGCCACGTGGCACAATTAACCTTAATTACTGACGGCGTTAACGGCAGACTAACGACAGCTAACAAAAAAGGCATTCTGTGTTAATATACATTAACCGAGTGGTATTTGGTGTATTAGAAAATTTTGTGTGGTATATGGTGAATTTTGAAATAACTCAGTGGTATATGGTGAAAAAACCGTTTTTAATATGGATGTCATATCCTCAATCAAAAGCTTTAGACTTACGACTCTCTTGTTGCATCACGTAATACTTCTTAAAATTGATCGCCAAAACTATTACCCTGTGCATTTTGGAAAATAGACGCATAGTGATATTGCATTGATTCTCGGTACCCAAACAAGAAATATTCTGTTTTCACCCTGAGTTCGATAAGAATTTACTTGGTTGTCATGCACGGTGCACCTTCAATAGTCTCACATTCTCACAAGTCACAACCATCTATCCTGAGAAAAATAGGGAACCAAATGTTTATTGACTTTTACTGAAAGCCCTCAAATTTTGCCAAGGATGATAAAACTAAAAATTATTTGGAATAAAAATATCAGGTCGATCTCAACTAGCAGGAGCTAACTATGGAAGTCCCTCTATATATATGGCTAAATTTTTTCGCTTTTCCATGCTTTCCTGCATTGCATTGCAGGAATGGATTGTTCATCTTGAAAGGTTACACTACTTTGATCTCATCACCTCACCAGTGCTTATTTTTCTTGCAGGAATACTTTAATACAACATACAAATTCTTGGAGCTTTGTCCGAACACTTTGATTCCTATGCATGGGAGAGTCAATCTGTGGCCAAAACACATGCTTTGTCGATATCTCAAGTATGAACTGCATTTAATATTCTCTTCTTTCACATATAAAGCATTTACCATATTTTTTGCTAGATGAGATATTGCTGCGGCATATTTATGCATGTAATTTTCTTTGTCATGTCTTGTTCATAGCTGTGTGTAATTTTCTGTATATTTTGCCTTATATGCATGTAATTTTCTTTGTCATGGCTTGTTCATAGCTGTGTGTAATTTTCTGTATATTTTGCCTTATATGCATGTAATTTTCTTTGTCATGGCTTGTTCATAGTTGTGTGTGATATTGTGGTAAATATCTGAAACTTTAGTCATAAATTTTCTCACAATGTATAGTCTGATTTCAGGAATCGCAGAGATAGAGAATCTTCAATCTTGAGTGCCATAGAAAATGGCAGTACTACTTTATTTGACATAGTTTCCACTATATATAAAGACGTTGATCGTGTCCTGTGGTTTGTTGCTGCATCAAATGTGAGGCTCCATGTTGAGCATCTAGCTCAACAGCACAAATTACCTGAGGTAATGTCCACAGTTCTATTTACTGTTGTCCATGCCATTCCAATGTTCATTTGTGTACTTATCCCAGAATTATGGAAATTAATTTATGCCATGAATTGTAGACTTTGTATACTTCTTTTTTCATGTTATGATGTAAAAATTATTTAGAAAAAAAAAAAAAAAAAGAAAGAGAAATTTTTAAAAAAATTGGAAAATAAAAGAAAAATCTAAAATAAAAAAGCAAATGTTGTAATTTATTGTTTCACTTTTAGTATTTTTATATGAGGAACAGAAAAGGTTTACAAATATGATGGTGGAGGTGTATGCACAGTTCTCATTGTGCATCCGTTGTACATCAAGCCAAAAACCAAAGAATATGAAGACTAATTCCATTGAATATAAGCTCCAATGTACATAAGAGCAACTAAGATGATCATTGGAGATTATGTTTATTGGATTATATGTTAGTTTGTTTTACCCAGTAGTTTTCATGTTCTTTGGTTTTATGTTTGATGTTCATCAGATGCGTAGTGTGCACTTGCATACGCCTCCACCATCCAATTATTGGAAAAGGTTGCCACATGATAATCTTTACAATTATAATCGTTATATTTCTTTAGATCGATAGAAAACTCGGCCAGATGTTTAAGGCAAATATATGTCTATCTGGCTGATGAAGATTTTACTCATTTGAATAAAATATGTTTGAGGGTATGCAGGTCTTTTCTTTTGAAACTTTCAACCAAAGTATCGCAGCATTCTGTGACGAGTTGAGCAAATTATAATAAAGGGATGCCATTTTCTAGGTCCATTGACCTCTCTAGGTTAGAAGCAATGCTCTTACACTTGCTGAATAGTATGTCTGTATTAGAGGAAAATAATCACATTGTTTCATCATATGACTAATATCTAATGATTCTGATATAGTACAACTAAATTGCATAACTGTATTCTGTTTCCTTTTAGACTATAAATTCATTTTCTTACCGATATACTTCATCTGTTCTTTTTTACTTGATCTGTTTCATTTATCACACTTGCCAATGCAAAACTTTAGTCATTAATAACTTTAATTCTCAATAAGTAGAAATTGTAAAAGTTATATATTATGATAATACCTATTGTGACGATGCAAACAAGATCCCACATGAATATGGTTTTCCTTCAAATAATTCACAAAAGTCGGTCCAAGGAAAAGTGGTGAATAGTGTAAAAGTCAAAACGGGTCAAGTAAAAAAGAAAAGAGAAAGTAATTTTCTTTTCTTTGATTGTCCAGAGTTGTAGAATTGATATTGATTTACTTGTTTCTCCTAGGGCATGTCCTTGACAAAATTTCGTCGAACTTTTGGATTACATTTTGCAATCAACTGGATCTGGGCATACACATGCAATTGTATATCATCAAAGGTTATGAAGATTAGACGACCTAAACTCATTGTTTCTGCAGTTGTTGCTTGCTTTGCTGCATTGTATTGTGTAAGAACTATGCCTACTTTAAATCATTAGTTTTATTATGCCATCACTATGGATACTTGAAAAATAAACTTTCAGGCTGATAAGGTTAAACAAGCCACACCTCATAGTTATTGTGTATCTATCTTATTCTAGAACTTGTGCTATCTACTAAGTATCTTATTCTAGCCATTTGCATTACGTACATTTTGTGTAAATTTGGCTAATGCAAGTTGGTTTGTTTAATCTTAGTGATTTATCATTGCACCTTATTATATATTTCCTTCTTTTTTATTTTACACTCTTCAATTTTTACTACTACCAATCTTGGAGATATAAAGGTAAGTTGTGGTTCTGGAGATTATAGTACTTTGCTAGTTCTAGCTATGGCAGATTTTTACTCATATTTGCACCTAAGTCAGGTCCAGAATTCAAGTCAAATGTAAAGTGTATATTAATGTCATTTTTTATTTTAATTCGCTGGTAATTCTGGCAATTTCGTTCTTATTTCTCTTCTATACTGCGAGTAAATGTGAATTAGTAAAACGTCACCCTCTATTTTTTTCTAAGAATAAATTTGCGGAATATATGCTGTTATATTGCCAGATAGGCAGATACAGAAGCTACACACGACAAAGGTTCTCTGATTACAGATTGCCTCCCCTTGTGTTCATTCACACCTTTTTTTTTTTTTCCTCCTTTCCTTCTTGACAGCGGGTAAAAAAAGGAGGCTAGCTCCCAACAGACTCGAGACTACCAAATGAGTAAAGAGAAAGACTAGGGGAGAGTTTAACTCTCTTAACAGAACTAATACAAGCACATAAAGGAGGGATGGGGCAACAATTTTCAAAACATGCTAAACAGTGCAAATGTGAGGGTTGCCAAGCTTCATCACAGATTATAGTCTTTGGATGCCCGAGGCTCGCTCCTTTGTGCTTCTTAGACCTGCAATGCCAATACCTGGAAAAGAGCTTACCTTTCTTATTCTTCATTTTTGACTTATATGACCTTCCACACTTCCTTTCTGTGGCGGAGAACTCGAAGGTAGTGTGTGTGGGGATAGCCTGTACTAAATCGGATTCAAGATTCAAGAGCCATGGGGTCATTTTCATTTGAACCTACGGATTCCACTTCCACAGGGGGGCAAAGTTTCTCGCAGGCATATCACTCCCATCCTCTATGCTCAAACCCTCGTTGTCGTTAGCAGTTAGACCTGATGGCAAAGCCTCGTCTAACTTCTCCACAGCCTTAGTGTTGGGATTTCCAGGCTCAATATCATGGTTGACCACTCCTAAGTCAAGGGGAGGCTTAACCTTTTCCTTTTGGTATTTTTTGTCATGGCTCTTCTCATCCAGACTCACCAAACTTGAAAGCATCGACAAAGCACATTGACCTTCTAGATCAATAGCCTTGTGATTTTCAAGATGCCTCTCGTGAGTAGTCTTATCCTTCATTTGTATAGTCATCCATAAACCAACAGATTTGTTCAAGAAACTCAAACTCTTCACTTGCTTGAGTTGCGAATAGGACAAGGTGGATAATTTAAGAGGCTGGTTTCTTTTCATTCTATTGGAGAAGCAGTGAAGATTCCTGAAATCCTTTTCTTTTGAGTGTCTTGATTCTTGATTCATTACAAGGCAGGAAAGGTTTTCATCCTTATATTCCAAAGGAGCATAAGAGTTGTGGGTAGGAATAGAGCTCTGTACTTCCATCTCACTAGATTCATTTGAGGTGGGCAAGCTGGTTACACCATTCTGGTCCTCACTATGAGATGTCGAGTTGCACCCAAGGCTAACATGGGGCTCAATGACTTTTCCCTTTTTGTTAAGAGTACAGTGAGTGAGGGCGGAATTCTCGACACTCTTACTAGGCCTTTACAAAACTATTTGAGAATCCGAAAATCCGATCTGCAACCGATCCGAATTTTTGGATATCCGATCCGAAAAAGCGGATATCGGATGCGGATTTGAATATTGATTTTCAAAATTTTAGATATCCGATATGCGAAATAATATAAAGGCCGAAATAGTGAAATATATATAAAAATTTAAATTGTTCATATAAAACTGACCCTATATTATTAACTTATTATAATATTCTTAATATATTTGATGGTAATTTTTATTGCAAAAAGACTACTATTTTGTTAAAATATGTTGTACAAATTAGCGATAAAAAATCGGTAAAATTAGTGAAATTTAGAAAGTATTCATAATCAATTTTACTTAATATTGGATAATGGATATCCGAAGCATCTAATTCGAAAATATCGGATATTCAAAATTTTCGGATCGGATTTGGATATCAGTTTCCAATATCCGAATATTCGGATATCCGATCCGAAATCTCCGATCCGTGAACAGGTCTACCTTTTACCATTGAGCTTGCTAGCTTGACCATGTAGTCCCATCACTCTCTCCAACTCGCGGAGAATATCCTGGATTTTTGGCTCTGACTTGACTGCCTTGCCAAGATCTTCGTACTCCTCTTCCAATTGGGAAAGCTTGATCTCTGCTAAAGCCCTTCTAAAAAGAGCTTTAGCATTGCAACCATCAAACTTTAAGACTAAGGAACAAAGCTCCTTAGTTTGATCATAGTCACGGACCTTAAGAGCACAAGCTGCAAGATTTAATTCCAAATCAATTGCTAGAATTCAGAGCATGACACTATCATCCACATTACTCGGTAAACCAAAGCAAAGAAATTTCAGACCTCTATCATACTTTGCCCCAGCAGAAACAACCTCACCATTCTTAAAGCATACATTAATTACCGATATTCCGGGGACAATTATTAAGAGCAAAATTAAAAATAGTATCATCATAGTCATCATTCAAATGAGCGACCATGAGAGCATCAAGTAGAGGCTTACAATCCATAGCTAACTAACTGAAATAAAGAAACTAAGAAGAAAAACGATAAAAACAAGGGGACCGTTCTTAGGTACCCGGATGAGAACCGATAGGCCCAGGAGGCAGAGGACCGACCTTCAAAACTACCCAGGTGGCTTTCGCAAAGAACGGGGCACCACGTCGTCACCGCCGGCAACGGTCCCAGCAGATAGCAGTCGGGCACCGCGCGAGAACACGAGGAAGAGGCTAGGAGTGACGGCTCAAATTTACAGCCTCAAATTCACACTATTTTTAAGGCCTTATGTGCTTTACCAATTTTTTTGTTGTTCATTGTTTAAAATTGATGTGTCTCAAAGTGCGACATTAATCACTTTTATACTCTTATTATCTTTGGCACTTTTCACGCCTGTACTCTGCCTTGTTCCGAAAAGTCGAAAATGTACATAATCTACTAAATAATCTCTCCTCCCTCTTCTCTTCTAAAGCCACCCGAAAAATTAACTTAGCTCGTAGAGAATGAAGGAGCAACAAAAGGTGGATGTTTATGTGAGAGGCTCATGGCTAAAGAAAATGGAGAAGGAAAGTAGTTCTCAGTTTGCAGCCATCCAAGTTACTACCACCATAATCTTTACTTTACGATTGCATTCTTTGTTACAGTCCTTGGGATCTTTGTCAATGGTCACATCAGGGAATTCCTCGTTTCTAGAAGACTTCACACCAATACAAAACTCGCTAGCTTCTGGCATTGAACTATCAGATTATGGATCAGAGACTTTGGTGATTGGATAGCTACGAGGGGATTATGGCACACAATGTCTGATTAGGAGCTCATGTGGTGCGCTTCTATGGTACCTCTTATTAAAGATTATCCCTATAATAGGACATCTAAGGTGGTGTTTATGGTCTTGACCAGGAAGACGTTACTACTAGCACCATTATGGGAGTTGTTCTTCAAGGGACATCAAGGCCTCTACTTAATTTACCTCCACACATCATCTGAGTTCATTGACGAACCTGTTGAATCATCTGTGTTCTACCAGCGTAGAATACCTATATAGACCTTGCTATCTCAATAAACATAATGTATCCAAAAATTAGGAAATTGTGTTAATAACTACCTAGTTTAGATTCAGTTTTGACAATAATTACCCTGTTTAAAAAATAATTTATAAAACTACCAATTTTCTTCCAAAAGTTTTGGTAACACTACCTTCTACAATTTTTCCGTCTAAAAACTTAATGGTGCATGCTATAGGGTCCCACCTATTAGACTTTTCGAAAAAATCACGTAAAATTCCCTTTATATCATCATTTAATCTCATCACCCACCTTTTTCATTTTCTCTCCCCTCGTCCCTCATTGCACCACACCTTACATGAGCCTTAATCACCATTTTCACCGCACAAAAACATCTCCTTTTTTACCATTTTTCTCACTACTCCACTCACATTCTTTCTTAATTCTTTGTTACACATCATTCTCAACTTGATATAAACTTTGATTATGCTCATTATCATCATATCATCACGGTAAATGCGGTAAAGCTACATGGACAAAAGGAAGGGCATCAATTGAAATTGTGGTTGATGGGAATTGAATTATGAATGTTGGAGGAGTTAAGGTGCTTAAATAGGCAAATAAGTGGGGGTTGTATAACGTGCACCGTTAAGTTTTTGAATGAAAAATTGTATAAGGTAGTGTTACCCAAACTTTTGGAAGAAACTTAATAGTTTTATAATTTTTTTTTGAAAAAATAAAAAGAATATTATTAACAAGTAATCATCATACTGAATAAAATAGCCTCAACCAACACCCCAAGACCAGAGAAACACCCCTAGTCACAAAGCACACTCCTAAACCAATTACAATGGTTTCTACTAGTCTTAACTAGCATTACAAAGCTAATTCTTTGAAAAACTTCAAACTTCAGATCTCTGATCACAGCTTCAGGTCTTCTCAAGAACTTATCCCACACTACCTTGTTCCTCTGCTGACAAATACAGTAGATCAGCCCAGCAAAACAGCTCTACACTACCCTTCTCTTAAATCATCCTGTAAACTGCTCTAGCTTTGCATTCCAGTCTTCAATACTATCCGGGTTAAGCTGAACCTTAATGGCATTCTAAAGAAGACCTTCTACTATACTGGCAATAAAAAAAATATGATCCACAGTCTCAGGCATCAGATTGCAAAGAGGGCAAAGATTATCATTGATAATTCCCAGTTTAACTAACTGATCTTTGACTTTAATTCTTCTCCACATCACCAGCCAACAAATAAACCTGTGCTTAGGGATATTGAATCTGTTCCAGACCTAATTACTCCAAGCAGCATCATTTGAGTCATTCTTCATCCATTTGTAACCACTAGCTACAAAATACCCCTTAGGATCAACAATCCAAGCATTATTCCTAATAACCAACTTTTAGCTTATCCTTAATC